GCTCTGCCCTGTCCGACTACACAAGCCTGTGGCACCTGTTCACATGCTACAGGCTGCCACAGTGTCCCGTGTTACGACTCCGCACGGGGGGGGGGGGGGGGGGAGGACACCTGTCAGGATCTCTACGGCGGGTGTATACCAAGCCGAGCCCGCACGTTTGTGCTTAGTCTGGCTGTGCTGCGTGATGCTGCAGAGTCCTGCTCGGACCCGCAGGTCAGAATACGGCAGAGTTTGGAGAACATGTCCGAAGTCGGCGCGCGAGGGGTCGGACGTCTCCTCACTCTGAGTTCTCCACGGGCTGCTGCCGAGCGCTCACTCACGCGTGATCGGTACAGATTATCCCGTTTCCGGGGTTCGCCGATCCATGGTCCGGCTTTAGGGTGGCTCGCCGGACCGCATTGAGGCGGGCCGCTGGAGTGTGCGCGCCCCGGGAGCCGGCGACCGGCCCGGTATTCAGCGCCGCCCAGCCGGCCGCCGCCTCCGGCCGTCATCAAAACTGTCATACGCGGCTCCCACGACCCGCGCCCGGTGGGAGCCGGCCACCTGTGGCTGTGACGGGGCGGCTCTGTCGTAGCCGAGGTGGTCTGCTTTCTTCTGCGTCGGACATTCGTGAAGTCATGTATCGGGTCTGTGGCCTCATGCCCGATATGAGAAGTTTGTTGAGAGCCGATATTGTTTTCTATAAAATTTGATGTAAATTCTGTGGATTTGCCGAACAATGATTCGGCCGTGATATTTTTATACTATTAACAGCAATATGTCTGCTTGTGTTCTAGATTTGTCCACGACGAATTCTCGTAACCGTCAGGTGTCCGATGCACAGCTGCAAGCTTGTGACTTCGCAAAAAATTACCGCTGTGCTCGAGAACTGTCAGCTGCTGATTAGCTCACATTCCAATATAACCATAATGTCTTGAAGAAAAATTTAAATGCAGGTACCATTATGTATAAACGAAATTTAGTTGGTAAACGTAAAAGTCGCGAGATGTCGCGCACTGGTAGTCAACTGATCATCGTCGAAATGACGCCATTGGTGACACTCCGGCCCGCGCGCGTTAACTCCGTTGATTGTGTGTTGGTAACGCGTTGTTGGTCGTGCTCAAAGGCTCTCCATCACGGGGAGGATAAATTTTCGAAGAAGCGCCTCAACTTCAGAGGCACCATACGAAGTGATGTGTCCGGTGTCGCTGGCCTAAAGGGTGGGGCGCCAAGCCATACGCCAGGCCGCGGTTAGCTTTGTTCGTCAAAATCTGCTATACTTTTATGATCTTGACCTGGCGGACGAAAGGAATTCGCTCGTGCAACGGAAGGGATGACGTCACAAGTTGTAGTTTAGCGTCAGCTTTGCAAAAAATTGATTTAGCACCTCAAGTCACCACCGCTGACGTCATCTGATCTTTGGCTCGGCCGCTGCCGCCGACCGCAGGCCATCCCAATCAAGGGCAGACAGTGAGCGCTTAAAGCGACCCGAACTCCTCCGCCGCTACGGGTGGATGGATCGGAAGGCAGATGCCCTCGCCAACTGAGATGTCGGTACGGACTCAGGACATAGGGACTCTGACATCACTGAGAGTTCACTGTTCTAACGCTGACAGTTATCAACCTTCAACTCCGAGGGGACTGGTTAAAGGACGTTATCAAGCAACCAGTGGTGATATTGGCAATCATCAACTTCTACCTTATGCTCACAGATGAAATGCAAAATACACACTGTGCAGGACACGTGACAACCATGTGTATCCGGTGTCTTTGCGGGCATATCGGCACTTGCAGCGAAATTCGACGCTGCATGCATGTTGATCCTAGTTCATAAGTCGATAGCGCATGTACTGCATACTGCATAAGCGTACCGCATGGCGTATAAGCCATACGGCAACCAAGGCCCCGAAATACATAGTTGTCGAGCCGGTCATATCTGGCGTTGGTGAGTACGACTTCCAGATATAACGGCCGTCAAGCGGCTCCCAGTCAATGTGGTGCAAGGTGTGATGACCTAATCAAACAATAACACATCGAGGATCATATTTACTAAACAGAGATATTGTATTGTCTACAGCAGTATTTTGCACATAAAAGTATACCAAGAGTTATGACTGAGTTTGTTTCATCACATCATTGTCATTTCGGCTTTACGACGCATCCAGCTGTTTAGCCTATAAGGCGTCGCCTGCTTCCCACCCTGGCACGAAGGGCGATTTCTGCGGGGAATCGACCCCCGCGCCTCTGGCTTCCCAGATGCGCAGTGATCAACGCATACTTCAACATATCTGATGTTTGTTTCCATATCTTCAAGCGTGAAACATCCCCTTAAACCTACGCCCTGATTCACCGTTTTTCATAACGCTGGCTGATAGGGGAGTCAACACGAACCCCCTGCCGTTTGCAAGAACACAAAAACCAGTGAATCACTATTTACCAGATCTCGCGATTAATGATGCGTTTTATGTTACTGTGTTCATAGATACCCTCTTTATGCCAGGTCAAAGATTAAATATCCAAACAATCGCACTTCTTCATATTTACATCCTCATACATACGAGATCGTTGTAGCGACACAAAATCGATGCAGTCGTGTTCCTTGTTTGATTCTTATTACATTGGTGTAAAGGTGTACGCGTTCTGAGCATACATTTATGACATATGACTTCGTTAATGCAACAACATCCGCCCACCGCTTGCGCTCTGCGGAGACGTTGGTTGTAACCCACCGCCCGTGCCCGCCGTACATCGCCGTGCAGTGTTCCCGAAAAACCGGTGCTGCTCCGAAACTAGGACAGCTGGGAATACGGTGATGATCTTACCACACGCGTAATGGCGCTCCCAGGGGTACAGGGGTACACGCGCATAGGGTACTGAATATTTGAGCGCCATTGCACAATATTCCGGAGAGGTGTCCTGAAAAACCTGCGGGAAGGGGAAGCACCAACACCTTATCAGGGCGAGGGCGAACACGCGTCCGGGTGGCCGGCTGAATGTCCTTCGCTCCGGTGGGGATCGATTTAACCCCTCCCCCGAGATATCAGAAACTAAGAAAGGTAGAGACACCAAATTTGCAGGGTGTGTTGGCCTGTGCGGGAGCTAATTTGCGTCGTCTGGGAAACCAGAGGTACGGGGTTCGATTCCCCGCGGTGCCCGCCCTTCCTGCCAGGGTGAGAGGCAGGCGACGCCATATAGCCTCAGCAGCTGAGTTTGTCGTAAAGCCCCAATGACATGAGCGAATTTGCGGCAAAATTTGAGGTTCCTTTGCCATGAACTTCGAGTCAAAGGAGGTAAGAGCAAGGCCAGACTCCGGATTGGTGTCCAGAGTACCCGCAAACTTTCTCATGCGACCACCGTGAACTTAGATATCTGTTGTAAGCAAAAGACCTCTGGTGCTTTTACGTGCTGATTATTTCTGGAAATCGTGCTCACGAACGCCAGGTATGAACGACCCGACAGTTATGTTTCATCGGCCTTGATTGCCGTATGGCTCAAGGGATGGCAAGATTTGAGTGACGTTATTTTGGCGTCGTGAATGCGGAGGTGACTTTGAAGCAGTCTCCCGAATCGCGGATGTGTGGCTTAGAAACTATGGAGGTTAAGCAGGGTCGTGAAATTAGCCGAAAGGTCTTCAAGATGGCTTCTTCAATTAAAACTCCATATAAATGTGGAACCCTCCCTCCAAGGGACAAATGGGTCTGGGAGGCGAATGCGACAAGGAGAATGCAACTGCCAAGCCGCGCTCGTAGTATCATCATAAATGCGCCAGATTTCTAATGTTTTTAGCTATTACACGGCATAATCAGTAGCTGCCAACGTTCAAATTTACGATGTAAGGCGTAAGCGTCTGGTCAAACTCAAGGTCATTTGCATTCCTAACTAAAGAGGATGCGGACCCGCGTCTTTAATGACACCTAAGCAAAGCCACGAGTAAAGCTCTGCAAACGCATGAGTTTAGGCAATGAATCCCCGCCCGGCTCCAGCACATCGTGACGGCAATATCTTCATCACCTCGGTCTCGATGTCAGCCGTCATGAGATCAACAAAATGCATGACGAGTGACACAGGCGTATATTGAGGGCTGTAACATGACCAGGCTACGGTGTAACCTACCTTAAACGGATCATCGGGCACGACAGCGTTACCCACTGACTAGAGGGAGCCACGTGGAACGGAAATCATGCCCTGACCAACAACATCTCATGTCATATGACGAGCCGGTATGGCCGAAGCAAATGTTGCCTTCTCCCTGTATCATCTATCTGGGCCTATCAGAGGGACACGGGTCACACCACAGGGTACAATTGTTCGCGTAACAGCCGCGGCACGCAGCGGCCGTCAACACCCAGAACAAGTGCTGACCGTGCACAGCGCTGTAGTCGGCGGTGATCCACAACTCAAATCGAGGAGAAGAAGGTCGCAAAAGGCCTCAAAGCTCAAGGTTTCAGAACCCAGCCTCAGCGATGGGATTCTTTTGATATTGAGACCTCAGATTGGCAACCTTTGACACGTGATCTTTGACATCAGGACCCCTGTCCCATTTATTTCTGATCTGGCAACATCTGGCCTGATGATCTTTGGCCTGAGAGCCCCTGACTCAGTGACCTCTGACCCCTGAACGCCTGACCTGGCAACACTCTACATGATTGCCCTTTATGACCCAGAATCTCCGACCTGGTGGCTTATCACCCCCGGACCTTGATCTTTGGCCTTGTGCCCCATGGCCCTGGGATCTCTGACCTGGTAACATCTGACCTCGGGGCTGTTTCCATGCTCACAGATAACCTGTGACAACATTGCGTGCCGTCGTGCCATTCGGGAACACCGTGTTACTGACCGGATCAGGCCAGGCATATATTCAATTCACTCGGTGAAGTGAAGCAGATATCTCACCCCCTCGATCAAGGGTAGTCAGGAGATTAATGACCTGACCTGGGCCAGTCGGTGATCCACTGACTGGACCAGAAATTATTCACTGGCCTGATCAGGAGATGCCCATGTCCCGCTGACTAGTGCTGCCCTCACTTGGGCGGCGAAGGCGGAGACCTGGAGGGCTCGGCCCTACCTTCGCCGAGGCCACCGCTAGATGGCAGGCCGGGCGGCGAGGCCAGCCCGTAGCCGGGGTAGGGCGGGAACAGGTCACCGCTCCACGGCACTGGGAAGTAGGGTCGCGGGTACGGGTAGCGGAAGCTCGGGAAGCCCATCATGGCTGGCGGCACGTGCAGCGCGGAGAAGGCTGACGGCGCGCCGGCGCCGGCGCTGTCCGGCAGCTCGGCCGGCGGCCGCGGCCGCAGTAGGCTGTCGATGGCCTCCAGCGTATTACCTGTCCGCACAGCGGCACACGCCGTCACACACGCCTGTCGGCACACGCCGTCACCGCCCGGCCGACGCCAGCGCGTTACCTGTCCGCACAGCGGCACACGCCGTCACCGCCCGGCCGACGCCAGCGCGTTGCCTGTCCGCACAGCGGCACGCGCCGTCACCGCCCGGCCGACGCCAGCGCGTTGCCTGTTTACAAAGTGGCTCAATATTCGATACACGACCAACGCACGTGTTGTTCAGACACAATCTGCAGCATATATATATATATATATATATATATATATATATATATATATATATATATATATGCATATGCCGTGGAGGGGTGGACGTGTGATAATGTTAGTGCCACACATGCGAAGCACAATGAAATATCTGGAAAGAAAGGTTGTGGCGGATGGAAAGTAAGAAAACTATTATTCCTTTATTTCAGCAAAATTTTACTTTGGCTCAATTCTTCAGATAGCATGCGTGCTAAATTGAAGGGCGGATCCAGAATACTCCTCGCGGGGGGAGGGGAGCAGTTCCGGCTTGGGAGGTAACTCTTGGCAATCAAACTGTTAAGATTGTCTTCAAAGTCAACAAATGCATCATTTTTGTCCAAATTGTGTTATCTTGGGTGGGGAGAGGGGGAGGGGGCCTGGTCCGGTTGGCATCTTTGGATCTGCCGTTGGTCTAGTTATAAATGTGCAGTTTTTGGCCTGATTGCTGCTTCGTATTTTCGTTTGCATATTTTATTTATAAGTATTCCAATTAGGTCATGTTGAAATTGAATTATATTGCATTACAATGGCCACTGCATGTAGCTTTTGCAGTCACGAATGTTAAATGCGCAAGCTACCAACAGTCAGTCAATAGCCTATCTTACATTTCTTAAGTCGGAACCCGCGAAAGCAGACGTCTTACACGGATGGGCTCCCAAACGGGCATCGCTGCGCAGAACCCACCTCCATGTCCTTTGAGAGTGTGGAAGAGTTCTGAGCGGGATATCGACGGAAACAACCTGGCCATCAGGTCCAGCGACCTGTCCGAGTCGTACATCGGAGGCGGCGCGCGGGGCGATGACGATCTCTCAGACACCTGCGCGCAGCGGTGACATTAGACAATTGTCACGCGGAGAATACGCACAAAATGTCACGCCTAACTGATCCGATTGCCAGTTACAGAACTTTGATCTGGCAACTTCGATCTGGCGACTTTGATCTGGCAACTTTGATCTGACAATGCGAGCTTCCATTCCCACCCCTCTGGTCCGGGCCACAAAATCACCCATGATTTATCCAGGTCACCGTTGGGCAATGCAGAACTACATTGGAACCAGCGGCGTAGTTTCGCAAAATGTATTGAAAGGGGGGACTGAGCATGACAAAATGGTGAAGTCTTCCCTTAAGAAAACGCCACCAAACGGATCTCTCCACGGATTTCACTTGCGTTTTTCTCCAAACTGCGAACGAAAGGCTGAAGTTCCTCAACTGAGCAGAAAATTATATCCCTGGCTCAAATTATGTTTCGTCGTCTGGCCAAACTTACACTATTAACATATTGAACGATTGGTAGCCAGTTGTTTTATTTTGCCAAATAATCTTTCATTTGGATGCTATTCCTGCCGCTGGTCTCCAAAGCACAAACAATTACGGTCAGGGTTAATACACAAACTCAGTGTGGACTCACACATCATCGCTAGACGAGCGATCACTGTCATGCTAAGACACACGCTGACAAAAGGACCCAGACAGAAGCCGATCAGCTGACCTCATCGTCGGAGCTCAGGGGCCGGCCGGGCTGGACGGTCGCCGAGAGGGTGGCCGCTGACCTCAGGTCAAGGCTGACCGCGCTGCTCTGCTCCAGGTACGGCGCATCAGACTCCTCAGGTCGGCACCTCTTCTGGGGCGGACCTGAAACGCAGACAACCATGGACCTGGGGGGCGGACCTGAAACGCAGACAACCATGGTTGATGCCGTCCAAAGACACACCGTCTGCCGCTGGCAGCGTGTCGACCACGCCAAGAACGTCGAGCCAAGTGGGGTAAGTGATATCTAGAAGATATCGAAATGCGCTAACTTCTTACAGGTTGATGTTACTGTGAACGATGTCCGGCTCTGTTGGTTAGAGCGCCTGGCTTCCGACCCACTCACCCGCGGAGGGTGCTTTCAAGTCGCTTTAGGCTCTCGCTATTTGGCCTTGACAAACATGGCCTGCGGCTGGTGGCAGCGGTCACGTTAAAGGTCAGTTGACGTCAGAGGGCAGCACGGACCGTGCCGAATATTGAGGCACGCTAAGCTTTCACCACTAAGTCCTGCCGTGGCCTGGAATAGTGCGATCGGATGGTGGGGGTCAGGGCCCACACAACAAGCACTGCTCAGCGTGAGCTCTGATATCAGATATCCATCCATTCAAAGGCTTGGGATCAAATTTTTAAAAAGGTTGCATGCTTCATAGGTTCATAATCCAACGCAAACATCCATCGTGCTCCAATCATGGGTTAAAGGTCATCCTAAGCTGATGTAGAGAGACGCTCTCCAACGGGGCGTAGTTTCGCAAAATGAGTTAGGGGGAGCTGAACAGTTAACAACTTCCCCCAAAATATGCCGACAGATGGGTTGACAAACTGATTTGGTCCACTTTCTTCTCAGAGTTTGAGGGCTGCCCCCTCCCCTGCTCCCCCAACCGAGTAGGAAACTGCACCTGTGCTCTCGAATCTAGTTGAGTGGCGTCCAAAACCCTGCAAATGTGGCGACGGTTGGCGGGGGATTTTACGACATGCATTGATATAATCAACGATTTCCCTGACAAGTTGATGATGGCCGGTGAGATGCTCCAGACCAGGTCAAGCTGTGTCCCGAAACTGACGGGGAGGGTCAGAATAGAATACAGGGGTCAGAAGAGCAGAGGAGTAAAGCAGAATATGGTGGGCAAGTTCAGAGGGCAATGAGAATGAATAGAGCAGAGAAGAGAAGCAGCAGAAGCGTAAATTAATCATTCTTCTCTCGTAAACAAAATACCAAACCTATGTAAAGGGCCGAGCAAGGGTCAATAAGGGAGCACCTTTCTGCTTGCAAGCTGTAATGGATGCATGCCACGAACAGCGGGTTCGGGTGATCCCTTAACCGAAGGCGAAGTATTGATTTAAGGGTTTGGGTAGCTCGGGTCAAAGATTATATTCTGCATGTGGAGGATCGGGCATTTTAACGGTCAGCTGGTGACCCACGCCGAGTGCGCCAGGGGAGCGAACGCTGTGGCGCTGAAGAAAATCGTTTGGATTACTCGATGATTATCCTTCGAAAGGCGTGGTATCGTGACACATTATGATGTTGCTGCAAACAGCTTAAACTTTGCACGGTTACGTGGGTGCGGTGGTTAAACGCTAGATATCCCTCTACAGACGTATGGAATCCCTGATAATGGGTTCGGTTGTCGACAATTCAGAATACCATGGAAATACCGATTAAGAAGCATTAAGGCGTAGAACCTAATTAGATACGACCGAGGAATATAACTTAACAGAGAAACGCCCATGCGGACGTATTGCATTCCCCGGAATAAGCTGAAGTGGGCTGAACACGAAATAATTGTATGCAGCGTGATGAAAATAGGTCTGCGTTATTGGAAATGGTCGAATGGGATTTGAGGCTTGTGAAAAAGCTACAAGGCAGGTGGACTGAGCTTAAAGACTTGGCACTGGGTTGCAGGGCATTTTAAAAATTAATTGCATAAAAAGCTTCACTGATGCAATGACTATTAAGTACACAAATCCGTACCAAATAGGTATATATATACATACATATGTATATATATATATATATATATACATATATATATATATATATATATATATATATATATATATATATATATATATATTGACTAACAAGTGCATACCCTCTGCGTCATATCGAGTAACCTCCCACGCAACTAAAAGCTAGAGGCCGGAGGACAGCATGACACTGATAAAGGCCAAAAGACGATATGCAAGCGGTAAAGGCCAACGGACAGCATGCAACTGATAAGGGCTTAAGGACAACGTGCAGCTTTTAAAATTTATCTTATTTTTTATAAACTTATTCCGAATGGCTTGCATGGGTGACCTGAGTTCATAGTATCTGCTTAAGCATAGCTTGCTGCGCGCACTCTGAACCCACCACCCAAGTCGTACCGTCCAGTTCAACGCAAAATTTTGTCTCCGCCCTTGCGCCAGGCAGGAATGTGGAGGTCTTTTACGTGCCGCACGATGCTACGACGCGGCCACCTCGGGCCAGGGGGGACCCTCGTTGGCCAGTTGCCAGCTATCCCTTCCATTTCAGTCGGGCCAAACAATGCACCCGCTCCGGGACTCGTACCCAGTGCCGCTGGATTACGAGTCCAGCATCTTTCCCCCGACCAAGGAGGCGGCTAGCGGGGCAGTTGGTGAAGGCCGAGAGACAGCATGCTGCTGGTAAAGGCCATAGGGCAGCGTGCAGCTGGTAAAGACTATGCCTGCATCGAGCTTTTCCCAAGTTGGCGCCTTCGCGGTAACGATGCTATGGCGAGACCGAATACCTGGATCGTTCAGTCTAGTTTTCCGGTTATATACGTAATTACACACCCGGTGAAGAAGCCGCGTTAGAGTGCTATTTTGGAATGGTTAATTTCGTTAACTTCATAATGTGACTCCATTATTTCTGTATTTCCTTCCTCTCTTTCACCAGGCCGGTCAACAGGGCGTGCAAACGACGCTAATAAATGACACCAGATTGTGAGGGGCGACGCTTGCCGTCTGGCATAACATGCGACTTACCCTCCTCCCCAGCTAACGAGATCGGATACCCCGGATCTCTGAATGGAGCTCTTAAAAGTCCATGTCGTCTCGTTGGAGATTCACTCTTCCCGTGACAAAAGCATAGATACGTTCATAGGTATTTATATCTGAGAGCCATCAGTGCTACGGTGTTGCTGTTTTATTGATCCCTCAGACGGTATCACTGTAGGCCTCTGCCCCAGCGCGTCAGTTTCTCTGTTCCTGAGAGTCGCCAGTGCCAGCGCGGGCCTGTTTCCCAGCCGGGCCGCTGCGGCGGGCCGACCGGGCCACGGAGGCGCTCGGGCGCGAAATGCCGGCCCTCCGATGCATTCAGTGGATGCTTCCAATCAATTTGAAGCACATTTGATACAGGGCCCATTAATTGGCTGCCACCTCCAGCCGCCACGGAGGGCGATACCGAGTATCGGCGCTGGCGCCAGTCGCCGCCGGCGCCGCGGATCACTGCCGATATATGGTGGCGCGTGAGACCCGCACCCCCGGCCGCCGACGGGGAGGGGCGCCGTCGCGCCACGGCCAGTGGACCGCTCAGTGATGAACGGCAGCTTCTAATGAAGAGAGATAAGTGTTGCGGTCGGGGGAGAGGAGGGAGGGGGGGGGGGGGGCAGGATGGTCTCTTCTGTGACGGATCGGAAAAGGGATAACGATCGGGTAATGGGAGAGAGGGGAAACAATGACATGTTTCGCTGGTTCTATTGATGCAGCCAAAAGAAGTGTGAGAGGCTCGGTTGCAAAGGCGCAAAAGTCAGATCATACCTTCATCTGGAATATAAAAACACATAAGCAAATACACATCTCGGGACGAAGAGACACCAGGAGACACAAAACGATCAAGGAACCCCAGGGCAGCACCTGGAAAAGAAAGCCAGTAGTCTCAGCACAGAAATCTTAACGCCCTAAACACTAGGCTCAAGACCATCCGGGCCACGCAAACACCAGGAGTTATCAAAACTATCCTGGATCCCAAAAGTATCAAACCGCCAAAAACGCGCATGCTTTCCAAAACACCAGGGTACAAAACATGCCGCAGAAGCATCACTGTGAAATTACAAATGTTGTATCCGATTCACAGTTAAATTGAGGTTGTTTTATTTAGTACCTGGCCCCTGGAGTAAGAAGGGCACATGAAGTGGGGCACAAAGCTCACCGAAAATGCATTTCTAGTTGGTATAACGTTTTTTAACGTCATCAAAGTAAATGTAAGACATAACAAGTAGCCAATGCTCCCGTGTAATAAATAGATTGAGATGAAAAATGGCCCATGTGCTTTACTTTGCAGCTGCTTGAGGGCGTCCAAATTTCTGTTCTGAAGTAGATGCAAACCAACATTGACCCTTTTTTGTCCATTTATATGCCATAAGCACATTCCATTCAATCTGCCTCATCTTTGTGAGGGAAAAGTATCTTAAGACACATTCGACACATCTCTTGCAGTGGATTCCGGCACCCACATTGGCTCAATGTACGTTAAATCCGATGCGCTGCTCCAGACTGCGTAGCACCAAGTAACAAGCAACCCTGTCACGAAGATAGATGGCTTAATGCGAAAGCTCTTCATCAATCTGGCACTTTACGATCAGCGAGAAAGGCAAAGTGCAAGATGTTCATTATCAATCTAACCTACTTCCATGACCTACTAATTTATTTCATATGGGAGTAAATCTATCCTCAGATCCAACTGATCAAGGTTCTCCGTACAAGTTACGGGTTCTTCTGGCGTATTATTCCGATGTTTTTATTTTCTACGCCACTTTGATTCCTATTTGCATCACCTCAGCAAGAATGCAATTTTGGAGTCATTAGGCAAGTGAAAACAGTTAAAGGCATCCATAGTGTGAGATAAAAAAAAAAATTGGTTTCAGCATAAGCTCAAAATATCACTTAAAGGGATTCCTCTACATTTAAATATATCGAGGCAAGCATCAGATGTGATGGAAAAGCTCGTTTGCAAATAATGGTATGCTTTGAAACACAAAAACTGCTTTAGATAACACGATTTCACAACTAAGTTAATACGGTCCTCATTATGTCATCGTTTGAGCACGTCATGAAAGGTTTTTATGACGCCAGAGTCACTACCAGAGTAACCGCGCCGTCGTTGT